AATACAAACGATGATAGTTGAAAATTGATGCATAATGACACTGTCATCGTATTTCTATAAAGTCTAAAATATTATAATTGTAAAAAAAGTTAAAAATCAAAAATTAAAGTGTTATAGGTTAGTGTTGTATAAATTAAAATACTATAAGCGCATGCTGTATAGGTACATTCATAAAAGTTTACATAATAAAATTATTACAAAAGCACGTAAAAAAGTTAAAGTTTAAAAATCAAAAATAGCAACATTTATAAATTATTCTTTACTCTGTGATGACAACTACTCGTAATAGTTTTTAAATAGGTACCTATTGTAATACGTTTTGGTAATTTTTATAATCATTATATAGCTCTGAATGGTTAATTTGATTAAAATAATTGTAATACGCTAAGAATTCCCACATTACCACATTATCGAAGTATTAATTTATTATTTATAAATTTAACAAAATGTGTCGGCAATCGTATAATTTTCGGGGGTCCAATGGGCCCATAGTTAAGCTATAATCGTTTGCAATCTTGTTATAAAAAAGGTCACCTTGATAAGTACCGTCCGCAATCGTGTATCATCGACACTATTTTTCTTGTACCAACGTCTTATTTTAAATGTTAGCATTATCTCTTCAACTCTTTGAAATGTTTATAAAATGTTAAATATATATTATTTTCCCGGCGATTATTATTACGTCACTATCACGSTATAGATCATATGTTCATCATGTGTTATTATTATCAATAGCAACAGTGTTTTTTTTTCATTCAAACATTTGATAACATAAATGAAATCAGAAATCTTAAAAACTACATTACAATAWCCACAATTTTACTAACGATAACATTTTTTTTTTCCCAGTACCTATTTAAATTGTATTTTTCAATTTTTCATTGCTAAGCACATCAATGCAATTTACTTTTGGTGAAATTATTTTTACTATTTATTAGGTACCTTTTATGTTCACTTAAAAAATAAATTATGAACTATGTTTTTATTGTTCCTGTCACTCTTAAAATAGTCCGACTTGGTTTCAAGGATATATCAATACGTTGCCAGTAAGTCACGACGCAATTGTTATTTGATATTTTTAAAACATTAATTGTAAATATTAATTAATAATTATTTTAACTGTAATACTGGATAAATTCTGAACGTCAAGTAACATCAATATCTGCTGGTTGGTATTTATATTTTATTCCTTGTACTTATACACAGGGCCGGTTTTAGGGGTGGGTGATCTGGGTACATTCAGAGTTATGATATTAGTTTTTAATAATAGTTTTTGTAATTCAATTACTTAACCTGAACTAGAGAGCGCATTAATTTACCTAGCCCAGGCRCATAGTTCCCTAAGACCGGCCTTGCTTGTATATCTTATGTCCTTTTGCCTTCWTTTTTATCTGAGAAATCGTTAATAATGATATATTTAGTTTGGAAAACTATCTGGAAATTTAGTTATTACTTACACTTCAATATAATTATTGTTTGACTTTATATTTTATATTTTTTTGGTGGCCAAATTCTCTAATTTAGGTTGTATTAATTTTAAACAGTATCTATTGGGTATTAAATAGTTTTATTGGAATACCAATATACCTATTTGCGCTTTTGATTTTCCATATATGTATCATCTACATAATATTTGGTTACTGRTTTGGTCACAAATCACAATTGTCTACCAACTCATTATTTTTAATTTATTTTTCAATAATATTGCTTTATTTTTGACACTCATTGTAATGCTATTTTTTTTAACGCAAGTCTTTGAATATTCTTTAGTATTGCCTTTCTTTTTTGATAAATGGAAACTTCACTCCGTTGTGTGATTGCCTCATAATATTAATATCCTAGTGTCATTTCATTTTAATTGTAAATCTTCTAAAGTTATTGTTATGARAACCTTGATATATTTATTATCTCTAAAATTATTTTTATAAGTTGTGTTTTGTCTTAATTAAATAATCATATGAATTATGTCTAATACTCAATGCATATTGTAAAAATWAGTTCTATTTTTATTGCCCATTAGATCATCAAAACAAAATTTGTCTTCTTACTATGACATATTAAATCTGAAACCAGGTTGTACAAAAAAAGAAATACGTAACTCATTTATTAAACTCTCCAAATTGGTAAGCATTTTTTAAGTGTTTTGGTTGTAAAACAATAACACAAGTTACACTTCTTAAAATTATAGTTTATATCTATTTGTTCTAGAATCATCCAGATGTCTGTGGTGCTTCTTCTAATGATAGATTTGTACGTATCAATGAAGCATATAATGTACTTATAGATGAAAACAAGAAAAAGTTATATGATGAAACACTGGTATACACTAAGAATAATAATCCAATTTATTATCATTACCACAAACGTCAAAATAGGTAAAAAAAAATAGGACAAAGCATAACAATTCTAATACAATAGTAGGTAAATTATTGCAGATGCCTAATAGCTCATAGCTGTTGTAGGTATCCCATCAAAATTTAATCTTTTGWAATTTTATTGTAAAATAAATTGAATTTGAATCAAATCTTTTAATACTTATCTACTTAAATCTAAATATTTATTTAGCATAAATTAATGTTTGCTAATTGTTATTAGTGAAAATTGGAAAGATGCGTACAATAATCCAAAAAATCATTGGCTAGCATCAAACATTGCTATTGCAGGTGTCTGTCTTTCAATACTACTTGTTGGATCCATAATTCGATATAAGGGTATTAAGTAAGTAAATAACATTTTTAAATTTTATTAATTAGTAATGATATCTATTTTTTATTATATATATATAAATACATTCAAGGTTACTTGGTAATTAATATAATGTAATATTAATCATATTAGTATCTATTATTTTATAATTGTTTTATGATTAGTGATTATTTATTATGCTATTAATTAGGTACATTAATTTAACTAACAMAAATTACATTCTGACAACAATGTTGTGTATTATATTTTTATTTCCTAGAAAATCTATGTCAATGCGAAGTTTATTGATGGATGAATCTGATGAACGTTTGTCCTTTTTAGAAGAACAAAAATTAATGAAAATTGATAAAACCAACGAAGAGCTTATAAAACTGTTTGAACAAAATATTGCAAAAGAATATGGTCATATTGTAAAAAAATAATTTATTATTATTTTGTATTACTCATTTATAGTTTATTATTGTTAACTATTATATTATGTTAGAAATAAATTTGCTTAAAACATTTGTTTATACCTGCGCATTTCAGTATTTATACTATTTATATCATTATGATATATTATTTATCTCTGACAAATTACAATAAGAAATTCTTACCAATAATTTTATAATTTTTTAAAAATTTTTTAACAAAAAAAATTAAAACTGAATTATGAGTTATGAAACAAAATAAACAGTCTAAGCAAAAGAATATATTATACAATTTTTTACATAGATATATATGTATATCAAATTTTTATTTGCAACCTAAAATATATCTTGAATTTTGATAGTATATGTTAATAAGTTAAGTTCAGATGTATCAGTTAAAAATATGGTTACATCTCTATACCACATTCATAATTTCAAAATTTCATAAAATACCTTGATTATATTTAAGTATCAATTCTACTTTTATGGAGACAATACACACGGATGTGGCGACCTCTTAAACATTTGTTAACAAAATAAAAATACTAACTTATCTAAATATGTATAAAATTGGATTTCTGTATCTGTATGTTTGCACTTTATGCTTTCTTAAGCTAACRGCTGGACCGATTGCGACGAAATTTGGTACAGAGATATAGTAGACCTATGGACAGAAGTTAGGCTAAGTTAAAAAAAGTGATATTAGGCCCATCCTCGGGAGGTRCTCAGACATTTTGAGATTTACGATTTAATTTTTTTTTAAATTTTTTTATTGATTTACGCGTTGGAAAAATGTATTTGTGTACACAACAGAAGGAAGAACAAAAAATATTGTGTATCCAAATGCACCTCAATAAATACTTGAATTGCCAGACTTTACTCGATAAAACGAATATAATTACATAATGATAAATTTAATTGAATATYGTAAGATTATTACATTATTACTTAGTATATTTTATTCKTTATTTATCTAGGTATATATATAAAAATATACTGCTAACAYAATCACAGGGAATGAATTTAACACACAGTTTGAGACATACAAGAGGTAGGATTTTTAACTGACTACGAAGTGAACGGGTTCAGCTAATTAACTTATAAAATTCAGTAAATTGTATAATTTTAGATTTGAATAAAAAATAAATTAGCATTTGACTGATTGGCGATAACCCAAAGCCTCACATGTACACATTGTACACATAAAAAATATCATAGTATCGAAAAAACACAAAATGACAAATACATATCTAGGTAGGTACAGGTACTTATTTGACATTTGTTTATACTTTATATAACACAAGATGAAGACATTACATGGCATCTATTATTTTATTACGATCGGAATCAGCGCACTATTTGTTTTCTCTCTCTGGCCCACGCGCCCACGTACAACATTGACAAAACGCATATTTTACCCTGAACCGTAAAAGATTTTTGAGGGAATGACATTGTCTCAAAACAATTTAAACATCATTTCAATTTACAATTTTTTTTTGTTTATTTTGAAAGTCGATTAGGTACAATATCAAATAACGATAAAATATAATATCGATATGTATCATTCCCTCAACAATATTATTCTCTATCTTTTTTATAGTAGGCGATTTTACTCTAAGATTACTTAAAAACATAGAAAAAACGATTTTGCATTATTCGTTTTGTCTATGTTGCRCGTGGRCCAGTGAGAGAATTTTTTTTTTAATTATCTAATWTAATTTAGTTTATCCTAAAAAAAATTAAACTAAATTAGTTAAGTTWTTTAAAAMTATAGCTGCAAAATGAGAGGCCAGCTGAGACCGAAGCAAGAGCTAGCTGCTCTAAATGAATGAGCTCCATCCGGGAAGTCAGCAGAACGGCTGTGTGTGACACCCGGCCCAGAATAGGATCGACACAGTGGCGAAACGAACCTAAAATAACCCATAATAGCAAACTTACAATTTAAACACCCACCCATCCATGCATTGGCTAACCTAACCTTACCCATAGTACCTATACCTGAATATATCTGTAAATTATAATAAATACTAATATAAATATAGTTGCCTACTTTGTTATGGTTATTCACTTTCATATTTTCACCCACCCCCAAACCTTAAAAAAAAATCGAGAGGCAATCGCTCACGGTCGTTTCGCCACTGGATCGGCAATCGGGACTCATATCATATTTATCAAGTATATAAGAATATTGTTTTGCATTATTAGGTGAAGAAGTGCAGAAGCCAATTTCTGATGTTAATTACTTGCGCTATGTATATATTCGTTGCTAACTAATTATATTGTGTTTAAATGTTTTTCATCAATAAACGATGGCAGCAGAGGAGTAGGTATAGTATTGTGCAAACAGACCCTCATCTGATGTCGGTTAAAAATTTCGGGGGGGGGAAAGAAGTTATTTAAAAATATATATACATATATTATAGTACGGCTGCTATACGATTGCGCAATGCGCGCGGTCCTTATCTACGGTACCTTTTTAGATTGCGCGTGCTAAATTATTTTTGCTTAGGTTCCGATTGTGGCAATCCGTACGTTAATTATTACTTATTATTGCCGATACCAGACAAACTTTCCATCACTAAGAAGTAGGTATAATTATATTTTAGATCATACTTTTATATTGGATTTTTTTCATTAGGTATTGTAAATTTCCTCATCTAAAAAAAATAAAACACCAGAAAACTTACTAAGTATTTAGCCATTATTGGAAAAAGATATCAGGACTTTAAATTTTAAATTATTTTATTTATATAATTTCATTATAACGATTTTAAATTCTGAGTGGAGCAAGGAATGTATTGATTTTACCATGATGTGTTTTTTTTGTGTGTCTGTCATCACGTTTTGGGGCAGTAAAAGTTCTTCGATTTTCGACTTCAGTACTTCGTTCGATCAGAAAGTGAATCTAGTTGGTACTTTGGGGGCCAAAAGTATATACGTAAATAATCGGGGTAAACAAATTAAAAATTAAGGAAAAAACGGGAATTTTTATGCACAATCAGTTTTCGACAAAATCGATTTTGGTTTTTGATGTAACTTAAAAATAAATGAACATGGATGAAATTTTCACCAAATGTTTATTTAAGTTTATAAGTATATTCTATTCACCATGCAATTGTTTTAAATGTTCGTCTCAAGTTGAACTATTCATAGGCATATGCAATTTTCGATCATTATTATAGTTGTTTTAAAATTAATATCAATAAAAATTTATTTGTTGGATAGAAAAGCTTGAAAATTTAATACAAAGTTCCTAACATATTGTTATATCAGTTGAAATATTAGACATATAGGCACGACTTTTTTTTATAAGCATTTAAAGTTCAAATTTTTACTAAATACGTAAAAANGTAAAAATCACGGAAATTCGCAAATTATTTTAAGCTAGATATTCGGAAAATTTTTAATAATCTTTAATATATCCTAGACAGATAAACCGTCTCCGCTCACTGCTCAGAATCATTTACAATGATATAATTACAGTGGCGAGGCGAGCTATTTTAACACAAGGAGCAAAGATTTTAGTCTAGGTACCCACCCAATATTTTATCAAACACACAAAAAATCAGATTACCTTATTGTTGCTTATTCATATTATAGTAGTACGTAGGTACATCATTACTTCTAGTTATATGCGTATAATATGATCAATTGTAATACCCACCCGCCCAAAATTTAGAGGAGCAGCCGCTCCTATATAGACCCCCTTCACCACGCCACTATATAATTTTATCATTGGATTCAAATTTAATTCCATCCGTGATGGATCCATCACAATAACCCACTTGTAACCTATACTGTACTGTAGATCGACATCCACGACTTACTCGCTTTTATTTTTAATGAATATTTATTCGAATTTTTTTCGATATCTATTCTAATATTTTATATTATTTTATTATAACGATTTTTTTATTGAATATTTTTTTACTTATGAGGTAGACTGAGTGTGAATATAAGCCATATATATATTAGGTATCTGTTATTTTTTGTGACTATTTGTACTATTTTTGACTGATTAGTTCTCGTAAAACGCACGTTTCTAATGTTCTTAGAAATAAATACAATAACAACATATTATACGACAAATAACAAATTTTTTTATAATAATAATAATTTTAAATTTGAATAATAAGTTGGTAACGTCGCATCCAATTTCACGCGCAATCGTACGCTTTTGAATAGTCAAAAGCATGTTCTTTGTTATTCCGGCACCGCGCGCAATCGTATGCCCAAAAATGTAAAACGCGCAATCCTACTCCATCGCATAGTACATACCTACGTATATGTAAATTATATTGCTTTCATACATCATGAACCTAATCATTTCATTAAAATGTAAAAATTAATTAAAAAACTAAAATATAATAAATAATTAATTGCCTTAACAGTGAAACTACAATAATAATTGATGTATTAAAATCTAAAATAGGTATAATTAATAAAGCGGTAAATAAAAAAATTCTTAGGTAATATCTGCATTTATAAATGTTCGTTTATTTTTTAAACTTATAAAATTTTATTAAAAGCAAAATACTAAAAAAAAATCTTTTAAACTTAAATAAGCGGATTCYGGAAATTTTTATGTTTAGCAAATATATAATATATTTACAGCTTTTTCTAGATTGATATTGTTAACTTCTCCTTTTTCAACATTAAGATTAAGTACCATTAGAATCTAATGATTAGATTTAGCCTTTTGTCGCCCATGTTAGAGCGTAAATATGACTTCAATCAGTTCACTCTTTTGTGCGATGAAAAAAACCTTTCATTTGATGTTATCGTGATTGGTAAAATTTTTACCAACGAAATAATTTGTTAAGTTTCAACAAAAACCATGGAAAATCTTTTAAGCATATTACTACGGTGTCCAAATTAAGGTCATGTGTGTCATTAAGTAGTGTTTTTGATGATGAAAACTCGGAAGCAATTTGAATTTCATTGAAGTTAAAATAACTATAATGATTTATGAAAACTTTTAAATAAAGACTATCTGGATTAAAACAATTGGAACTAGAATG